GTCTGGCCATGCCACCATTCCTGCCTGCCCCTGCTCTAGATTGGGAGCAGAGGGGCAGGGCCAGCTCTGCTCCACTGGAGCAGAGAGCACAGCCTAGCCCAGGGCTGCAAAGCATCCTGGGATGCTGAGGGACTCTGATTTAACTTAAACCAGGAAGGGGTTTGGGACAGAAGTTCCATACACCAGTTTGATCTCAATCAGTTAAACCTGGTTGAATGTAGTATCAGACTGATCTCAAACCAGTTTCATCCATTTTGAAAACAGGTCTATGTGCACTGAACCTATGTCATAGGCTTAAACCAGTTTCTGCTTACTTAAACCAGTTTGTGTGTAACTTCTGTCCCTAGCTCTAGCATGTTTTGTACATACATGACTTTAAGAAAGTAAAATTAAATTTGTCTGAAATAATGTATACCAGATACACAGCCCAAATATAATTCAAAGATTTTAGAACATTTTGGTTAATCTCAACATGAAGTAGATATAAAAGATAGCCAGGACACACACTGTAGTCTTCTCAGACATTGAAGGCACCTGACTTTATTAGCATGTCATAGTAGCATTAATATATGAAAAGACGAAAATCTGGGTTAACAGACCAAGAAGAAAGTTAAGGCCTGATTCTGCTCTTTGATCTATGTTTGTGAACTGCTCATTGTGGAGCCTCATTGACTCCAGTCTGTCATGGGAGCCACCTGCTGTTCTGCAGGAGGGTGATGGTATTTAATGACAAGTGACCAGGGTGCCACTTCTTATTCATCTACAACAGGATCTCCAGCAGCACTGTTCTGCCTAAACACTGTGCTAGGATGCTGGTTTGGTACCAGTTCTAAAGGAAGGGTCCCAGTTGCCAGATCTTCAGCCCCATTTTCTGTAGCCCGGGTGCATGTTTTAGACAGAGCTCTCATTTAATCATTGACCCAGGCCAACTCTGCTTGGGTGATAAAGTCTGACAGAATTGCAGCATGGTATGGCCATAACCGTATCTCGAATTGTACAGAAAGAATGCCTTGTTGATAATTTTCAAGCAGCCTAAGAGGTGTGCCCATATTTGTGCTTTCAAATTGAGTAACCCTGCACGCAAACAAGCATCCATGGTTAATTTATGGCTCTGTGTTAATTCTGTGCAGGTGTATACAGGCACTGGGCTTGTCAAAATTTGGTCACACTTGGCTGTGCGTATGAAAAACGTAATATCATATGCTTTTGACAAAATACATTTCCATATGCTTTATGATATACCTGAAGGGTGTGTCCCAGACTTAAAATGGCATAGGACTAGAGAAAGCACAATTTTTAACTCATTGACTAGTTTTTTCAAGAGAGGCCTAAAGTTCAACCCTTAAAGGCTTATTTGATAAACAAGGAGTGTTTAAAAAAAAAATATATATATATAGGCATCAAAGGATTAGGCACATGACCTTGGCAGTGGAATCCAGAACCCAGTGGTAAGCATTTAGTTCTCCCCATGCACTCTGAGGAAGCTTAAGGGATTCAGAATGAGATCCAGAATCAGTGGCGGATTAAGATTTATTGGGGCCCCAGGCAAACAGAAAATTGGGGACCTGTCACACCCCATTATAAACATGAATGTATCAAAAAGCATTAATAGATAGACCCATTAAATGTTTACACGGTGCATTAATAAATAAAGCATAACACATGATGTTGAAATTAAGTACTCAATTTTACCATGCACAAAACTGAATAAAACAACTGCCATAGAAAAATTACTCAGTTGCATGGGATCACCATCAATGTATAACAACACAAAAGGAAAGATATTTTAATTTAGTGGTCATGTAGATTCTTGTTTGACTGTTTTTTTAAATACACATTTTACATTGTATCTACATTACGGTAAACTACTAGAAGAAAAATACAGGCCATATCAATAGCCTCGAGTATGAATGAGCTTTAGTTCAAGTGCTGCCACCACCATTTTTAAGCACAGGGATGCTGATGCACGAGATGCTGCAGCACTTTAATTCAAGTGGCTCTCAGAGCCACCCTAATTAAAGTGCCACCCCCCCACCCCCGGAGCACATGTAAAAGTGCTAAGGGGCAGCTGCCTGAGCCTGCACAGTAGGGTTAAGGGGGAAGGTGCGAGCCTTCCTGGCTGCCCAGGGCTGGGTGGTCTCTGGGTTAGATTCCCCCCTCTCTTCCCTCTGCCCAGATCAGGGCCACAGGACTACTCCAGACCTGGAGAAGCTGAACCACTTCACCCCTGCAGCCAGACCCCAGCCAGAGAGGAGCTGAGTAGGGCGAAGGTAGATGTGGGCTGCTGCTGTGGGCTTGGGGATTTCTTCTTTGCTGCCTTTGTCCTAGGGGCCCGACACCAGCTGCATGCCCTGTCTGCCCAGCAGCAGGAGGCACAACTCACCACCCAACTGCTGCTGGGCAGGTGGGGCACACAGCCAACATAGGGCTCCTGAAAGACAGCAGAGTGGAGAGCCCTGAGCCCACAGTGAGCAGCCTGCATTTGCCCTATGCACAAATATGGGGGTGGAGGGGAAGCACAAGCTACCCCATGCCTCCCTGGGGGGTGTATGCAGTGGTGAGGATCTGCCCCCCCACTTTTCCTTCCCTATGGCCCCTGGATGAACTGCCTGTGGCTCTGTCTGGCTCCCTACCCCAGCCCTAGATCCAATACACTGCCCTGGCTGTGTCCTGTTTCCTACCCACCCCTGCCCCATTCCCTTCCTCACTGAGAGCATTGATCCGCCCCATACCCTAACCTCTTCTCCTCCATAGACTTACCTGCAGGGAGTTGCTTTCCATGCTGTCCCTTTGTTTTTCTGGCCACATGCATGCATATGGCTGTGCATGTGTCTTGCTCCTGGGAGCTCCAAGCAGGACCCCTTGTAGGCTAGAATGCTGCCTGTCTGCAAGGTGAAACCTTTCATTTCCCAAGGAAACCCAGGCACCCAGGGGCCCCCTGGGCTGGGCCCATGCATTAATTCACCTAAGTCTAGACTAGCTAGTTTACTGACTAGAGGGTATTTAGGTCTAGCCCTGTGGTTCTCAACTTTTCAAGACTCAAGGCATCCTTGAAAGAGTTGGTTCTTACCTTTCACTCTTTTTTGACAAGGGAAAAATAGTAGATCAGTTCTTCTGTTGCAAAGAACTCAGACCACAACAGTTTTGAATGTTTTTGACACTATGGATTCCTATATCTATCTTCTGAATCATGTGCAAGTGTTTGCACACCTAACAGTACTAATATTGTGTGACACCCTTACCAGGATCTTGCAGTGTCCTGGTTGATAATCCCTGGTTTAGCCAATAGGAAATGCTGAGTCCAGGCGTTTCTCTGAAATCCAGCCGCTTGAGCAGGGCTGTAAAAAGATGTCTCCCTCCATTTAGGGTCCACTGCCTAGAAACTTCTGAAGGTTGCTGCCCTATGGTCTTTCCTTCAAGGACTGAACAAGTTTTACTTCCTTAGTGGTTACCTAGTGCACCATTTCCCAACTGGTTTGCCATCAGGCACATCCAGGTGTGCTGCTGCAGTTTGGGCTGGAGCCACCCCCCTGCCTGGCTGGAGCCACAGACAGATGAGGAGCGTGGCTCCAGCCATGCAGGGGGTGTGGCTCCATCTCAAAATGCCTTCCAGCTAGCTGCAC